TTTCAGAAGTTATTTCTTAAAAGGTAAAACCATACAAGCATTTATTATTTTTCTCCTAAACTACTTCAGAAATGATGCTCAGCAGGTCATATACTTCTTTGCAGGCACTGACATAGCCAATCATTAGCATATATTTATTTTATTCAGTAAACGTTATCAGAAACTTCTAAAAAACCATGCAGTTGTTTATAGCTGAAGACAACATTACGTAAACTGAAACTGAGAGTAGACACTTTGAGATCAGCAAGGGGTTAATGGTCCACTTTCCAGCTGAGAGCACTTTCAAAACATGCTCCTCCTTTCCTAAAAGCACTGCCAAAATCATCTGACAGGAAACATAAGATTAAGTTTATCCTACCTAAGAGAACAAAAGGGTGCTCAGAACAAACAACTAGTTTACTGCAGATCGGGAACTTCTCTAATCCTATTGGAATCTCTTGTTCAACAAAATACAGCTGAAGAAGTTGTTTTTTCTTTCTTTCCATTTGTGGATTCCCCACTGTACCCCCATTTTGGTCATATTGTAGTTTTGCTGCTTTTTCCATAAATGTTAACTTAAAGTGCCAAACATAATCATGTGGAAATTGGACATTATTGATTCCTATGGTCTATTGTTTTCCCATTCTCAGTCCTCGAAGTTCAAGTTCAATCTGGAATTACATCATGTCTGGTTTCTCCTGGTTACCAGACGGCTTGAGACGTGACCACAGCTACAGAAAAAACAAACAGCCTTCTTCACGCTTCGGCTTCCCTATCGATTCAAACAAACTTTTTTTCTTCCTCTCAAGTATGCTTCAAGTATAGAGCATGGTTAATTTAGAGATTAAGTTCCAAATTAGATTATCTAATGGCATCTTAATGGATTGCTGACCCATTTCCTGTGGGATGGCAGCATGCAAGTCTGGCTGGAATACAATTAATTTCTTAGGAAGTGTTTGGAAGATGTTTGCTTAAATGGAAAGGAAACATAATTCTCTGCACATCTTTCTTTATTAGAGAGCTGGGTGAAACTGTAACAGAGATAGTGACAAACTGATTCAGGACAGAAATCCTTCCAAGCTTCCTCCTCTACTACAGTGATTTTATCAACAATGTTTTCATTCCACTGTTCTTATTTGCAAAAACTGAGTCTGTATTTTTAGTCTGAGCAAATTTATGACATAGCATGTCATTTCTACCGCTAGAAAGAAACAAAAAGAACAATGAAGTTACTTGCTACTGATTTTGCTCTTTCAAAATTTGCACTTAAGTTAGAAGCTTAAATCTGCAAGGCTATTCTGACATTAAAAAAAAAAAAGTTCCCAGTCTCCTTTTTCCCATACAGCAAGCTCATTCTATTTTACTAGCTTAACAGCATCAACACAGCCCCTAAGAGCGGAAGGGGAGCAAAGGAAGCTGCTCCAAAAAGTTATATATTTTGAAACCCCTTTTGTCTAGAGGAGAAAAGGAAATTCAGTGTTCTGAGCCCAAAGGAGAACCCAACTGTTGCTCTGTATTTCTGTGTCAAGATAGCAAACTGAAAGCAGGAAATGTTAACCTAGGATCTGGGAACAGCAAAATTAATCTTAAATTAACAATTACTGTAACCGTTTAAAACAGCATTGAATGCATTTGCTTTTTAAAACACATATGACTAACACCTGATAATTTTTGCCCTAACCTTATACTTTTGAAAGGTGTGGCCAAAAACTTTAAAAGTTCACAACCACTAACAATACAACACACTCGTCTTACTCAGCAGCCAGTAGTAACTGCTTGATCTCTCAGGATCAGATATAATTACCACATGAAATAAGAACTAATATTGCATGTCATGCATTGCAGAAGCATTTCTAAATATTTAGTTCAACGCATTACCAAACATTAGGGATTGCAGCTTCCTGAACAGAAGCCATCATGACATCACACAAATGATACAAATTATATAATGACACAAATGAAGTAGTTTGCATCATTTGAGCAATGTCATGATGCATGTGTCATCATTTGTCCCACTCTGACCTTCCCACAGAACCCCATGAACATGTGGTGAACATATCCACATATTTATATGCACATTTCAATTATTTTCTTAAACTAAGTTCCAATTTGAATCACCTCATACATGGAGCATATAGATATTGCTAAAATTGTATAAGTTTACACATTGGTTGAATTTATATTAGAGCTAATATCTAGGAACTGTATTGGCCTTTCTTGCTTAATTAAATCTTAATTAAACCATGCTAAATAAAACTTATTTCTGAATGTGTTTGGGCAGTGCTTACTACGTTTAATTTAGAGTGATTTCTATACAAAGGCTAATTAGGAGCTGATTAGAAAAAATATGATAAAGTTATCTAAACAAAAGCAAAATAGGGCTTATAAGTAAACAATTAATGTTCAGTGGAAGTTTGCAGTAACGAGTATAATGATGATCCTAGAGACAGAAAAGGATGGTCCCAGGAAACAGATAAGAATAGTGTGGGAACCGCTCCAAAATTATTTATACAGTAGGACTGTCTTGTGAATAAAAATAAATTACCATCAGTTTGTCTACAGCCTTTGGCCTAGCCCAGAAAAACCTTTTTTTTCTAAGGCTATCTAGGCAGAATCACCCAGTAAAATTGGAATGAAGGTCAGCTGTTCACTCACACTAAGACAAGGTACTCATAACATGGACTTCTGAATGTCTTTCCTAAAGACTAGATTGGGTTCTTTCCTGTCCCAATTGCACAGCACCTCTGAAGATACAATTAAGAATGGAAGAATGTCCTTTCAAAATTGCATTCCCAAAACTTTGTTCCTACCTATAGGAAAAATGACACGAAACCTTCATATTCAATCCCCGCCCTCCCCCTAGAACAAGTTAACTCAGATAGGGCAATTCTGAGTTGGAAAAATGATCACACTTGTCCTGACTCCTGCCTTTTCTCTATTTAGATTGGCAGTATGACAGGGCTACTTTTGTTTTTTTAAAGAAAATGCGGAGAAAAGTCAGAACCCCATATAACTTCAATTTCTTTCATAGTCATTTCAGGTCTTGACTCTAATTTTGACCACTATCTAGAGAATTATCTAGCATTTGAGGAATTGTGGCTGCAATGGATTTCTGAATTTTGAACTGGATTCATAACTTGGTAGCTTCTGTTTTGCCTTGATTTGAATCCCAACATGATCCTAGTCCTATCAAAGTACTGCTCAGGTACTATTCATAACACTCTTTAATACATTTGGTTTACACTATTTTTCATGAAATAGTGAAATACTTCATGAAAATATTTACAAAATCAGTTGCATGGAAAATAAAAAAGGAAATTTAGAAAGAAACAAAGAGAAGTATTGCATGGTGAAACCCTAGACCTATTTTTATGAATTACATGGATGATGGCTGGGACTGTATTATTATGAAATGTGCAGATCGTACAAAATCTGTAGGCATCAGGAGCACTTTAATACAGGATATGAATCAGAAGAACTGGTAACTGGAATTAAGATGACAAATTTAAAAAAAAAACTGGTCTTCAAGATCATGTTGTTGTTAAAATATGGCATTTTAGTCCTGTTATTAACTGAACTATTATTTCAAAGGCTAAATAATTAATAAAATCAGTTTTATGTTATCCAGTTTTAATCCTGACAAATTGTAAAGATCTAGGAGCAAATAAATAGAAGAAACAGAAGAAACTTTTATAGGACTTACAGAATGTGGAATATTTAACCAAGACTTTTAAAAAAAATGTGTTTGGGAGGGATTAAAGATCAACTATGACAATGATGATGGAAATGTACATAATCTCTACCAAACATAACACACAAAACCCATATAAATTAGAAACAGGTTATATTTTTGGAGAGAACACATGGACATTTAAGGCAGTTCAAAGAATAGTTGTAAAATATGCTTCCTTAGAGAAGTTTTCAAAACAAAACTGAGCATGAGACACAAATATTTTAAGACAAGATATTGGTTGAAATGAACTCATGGAGTTCATTTTCTATTTACATTTGGAGATAAGCCAAACTGTCCAGTCTATACAGATTTATCAGTTCTTAAATGAAATGACTGGCAATAATAACCAATTATATATTCCAGTTGGAAAGCCCATTAAATATGGGTGATAATTTCCAAGATTGCAGCAGAGGATAAAGGAATGAGGAGGAAGGACTTCATAATTTTACTGGGCAGCTCTCGGTATAAAATGAGAAGGAAACGTGTGCGTGTGTGTGTGTGTGTGTGCCTGCATGCAGTGGAGACAGTGAATGAGCATAGGATTCCACTTGCCCATCACTCTTTTCATCCCACCCCACTACATCTCTTGAAACTCTCCGAAGATTTGCTCTTGTATTTATGGAACTATCTGGAATTATATTTCAAGAAGGGAAAAAAAGAGAAAATAATACCTTTTCATGACCTTATCAAATAAAATCAGAAGCAATTCTGCAAAGAATCAGAATTACTTAATTACACATATCAACTAACATGTTAAACCTTTTACATCAGTATCTATTTCAAAGTAGCAGTTTCACCTTACCTGCAGAGAAAGTAATTTTATGAAAGGGAAGACTAGCTAATTCTAGTTAAGACAAAGTTTTACCTTACTTCAGAGAACATTTCCTAAATTCATAAAATCTGCCCACATGATTTCCCAAATTGTTCCTTTGGGCATTATTCATATGTGTTACCTAACATTAGACATTCCCATGCTTGTCATGTATTTATTTTTAAATGTTTCTAATATAAACATAATATAACAATAATATAAATTTGCAAGCTTCAAAATCCCTACCCATACATTTTTGCTGTTGCTTTCTTCACAGTTTTATACCTGACAATGAACATTTGGCATCCCAAGTGCTTAACTGTAACGTTCATTTCAGCTAATGTAAAGCATGTAATTCAAAAGATGTTAGACAGATATTTTGCAGTTAAATTTTGACAAATTTAATCCTGGAGGCCAACTTATACAGATAATGAAGAACCCAAGATAGTTTAGGTTTGGAAATAATTAAAATTTTACCTTTGCCAAGTAATTCCCAATGTATCCTCATTGGCACTGGGGTATAAATGCCTGCCGTTTTGATTCATGGTCCAGTCACAAATCCTCAGCTGTCAATTGAAACCTAGCAGTCAGATATGGATCGAGCAGTACTACAGTTTTTAGTATTTAAATGAATGCATGCAAACTAGCATTTTACATGGCACAAACCTTACATCCCCAAGTAGTAGTAGTAGTGAAAAAAAAAACATTAAAAAAAATAAATTTTAAACTCTTACAGTGCAAAATAAAATTGTACACATTTAGAAAATGCTATATGAATATGCTTTCTATTAATCAAAGCATAAAAGAGCAACTGGAATTTAGCAATTAATTATATTATGAACTGAGCTGGAAACAAAGTAAATATTAATGATCAATTTTAAAAGAAAGAAAATAAAAACCACTTAAAATTATTCAATGTTCCAGAAAAAAAGGACAAAAAAAATCAGTATCTTTGAAAGCATGCATTTGGTGATACTCAGATGACATGCAACTTATAGGAAAGGATCCAAAATTATACAAAGACCTTATCTTACTGTTCAAGAAGGAAAGAGGCATTTGTAATAGAGGTTGATTAATTTAGTGTTACTGAATACAGCATCTCTTAACATGCAGTGGTAAAATAATCTAATCTAATTCTTAATTCAAGATAATAGCATTTAAAAGACTTTAAATACAAGGAGAAATGCATTACATGTAAGCTGAAATAAATATTTCCCAGATCATCAAATCAGCAGAATAGCTCTTTAAAGAAACTACTATCCATGTAACTCTACATAGCCATTGTCTAGCAGCAGACCAGCTAGCAGTTTTTTTGAAAAGATAATAGTGATTATATTTATATCTGAGAAAATCAGCCTTATCTAAACTTTTAAAGAAAACAGAGAAGTATGATTTTAATCTCTATAAATGACTCTCACATATATCACGCATCGAAGAGCACCTTGAATTAAATGCAAGAATGCGACTATGATTAATTGTATATAAATGTGATTTCTTCCCTTCTCCACAATCTCTAAGTGGCTCTAAACGATCAATGTTTAAGTAGTGACTTTCATAGCAGCTCAATTTATTACACTCCTTTCCTAAAAAACACATGTGCTGGGGAAAAGACTATATTCTTGTCCTGACCCTGTCTGACTGCAACATTTCTGTGCTTCCTGTTGCTGAGTCTTCAGAAATGGAAACACTGATTTTTAACAACTGTTTTCTTAGCTATTATCTGAAGAACTCAGCGAGAAAGAGAGAGAGAGAGAGAGAGAGAAAGAGAGAGAGAGAATTATTTATTAATGTATTTTAAATGTTTCTATACCTCCTGCCTTTAAATGAAATCTCAAAATGACTGGTAACTAAACAGAAATGGAATCATGCAGACAAAAATAATTTTGAAGTATAGTAACAATGGCAGAAGCTACGCAGAGAAAAGGGTGTATTTTTAGGGCAAAAGGGTAAGTCCTGCTGCTGGCATAGGTATGCTGGCTGCATTTTTAAATCTCTTCCAACAGTTTCTTTTTAAATCTGCAAGGGTTTAATTCATGGTTTAAGATGTGTGCAGCCACCTAAGCGAGTGGATGGGTGGAGAAGCCCTGTTGGAAAGTTTGTCAAATAAAAGTTTTGCTGTATGTTTTTCCATTTATATAATAATTATTTCTTCATAAAAATGGGATTTAGTATTCATCTGTCAGCTATAGCATTTTCACAGGCTTAATCAAAATCTGACATTAAAATATAGTTTTGGGGCAAAAAAAATACTTTATTTTTGTATAATAGGGTTTTAATTTTGTTTATAATCATAGTTTGGTGTTTTGTAAACATTGTACTGTAGAATTTATCACCTTGAATGCCCTGTAGGCAGAAAGGCAAGACAGAAATCGTACAAGCAAGCAAGCAAGCAAATAAACACCAAATGACAGAAAATCAGAGGCATGAATGGAGTGTGCAAACTACAGTTTCTGTTAATTGTAATCTAGCAGGAGAGCTAAGTTAACAAAACAAGTTTACAATTGTTGCTCTCCTGCTGAAGGATAGTACAGCTAGAACCAGAATATTGAGGAACTAGAACATACAGCAGCTGAGCAGACTGAAACCATGTTCCTTGATGTTTTGAGTTCTAAAAAGTGGTTTGAACAAATGTTTTGGCAAGGTAGTTCTTTAAGCCTCTTCAAAGGTCTTGAATAAAAACGGTAATATGTTACTAGTAGAATTTGAGTTTCTGGCGTTTACAGAAGACAATAAGACTTGATTTAACACGTATTGTTCACACAAAACATTTTAAGTGCTATTTGCATACCCTTCCATATGAATGTAGCAGAGTTAAAAAACTGAAATTATACTAAACAGACAGATATACACAAATGTTCAGCAATATGCTGCCTGCATAGTAAAGCAAATAGTCATAGTACAGTATTCATGTCGTCAGCTTTGAAATGGTGATCATGTCTTGGAGGACCAACTTTTAATTAGTGAGTAGGGGATAAATAGAGGTAGAATTTTAGGCCATTTCACCACCACACAGCTGATACTGCTGGCCATGGTATCTGTGTGTCATTACACTCACAATCTGACGTTTTTGTATGATAATCCAGTGCACATTTCTATGCATCAGGGTACGACCAAATAACACAAAACCTACCTAAATTACAGAATACATTCTTCACAGAATAGGAAGAATTCTATACTGCATGGCTTCACAGGTATGTCCTACTTTATACACCTGACTCTTCTGCTCTGTTAATATCCGGGATGTTATCAACTGTATAGTAAAATAACAAATCCCAAAGAAATCCGTGCACAAACCAAGAAGTGCATGCTTCCTTCTTCCCTCTTTAGACTACATGTTCTCATGCTACCTGGCACTTAAAATAATGTTCTGGAAGATCTTATAAGGAGCTTTCCTCTTTCTCTCAAGGAAGACTTTTGTATATGTATGTGCATGTACATGTGTGAAAAACACCTCTTCACTCAGGAAATCCTCCATGCTGAATCAAATGTTCTCAACTGGGGGATCCTTTCGAGGCATTATTGAGGACTGTGTGTTAATACAGTATTAGCTTTAGATCAATTGTGTTTTTATGCCTTCAATTGTATAATTTTACTACATAAGAAAGCAAGTGCATTATACCAAGCTAAGTATGGAAACTGCAAATCAGAAATCTCCCAAACACAGAAGTAATACACTTTGTAAGATCCATGAAAATATCTGTGAATGTTCCACAGAAATTCTAATGCTGAACAATGGAAGCAATTACTCCTCGGTGTTGTTAAAGAAAACACCTACTTTATCTACTTTTTAGATAATTTACAAATCAAATTATTACTGGAATTACACTACCACCAGCTTTGCATACAAAGCAGTGCTGACTGAGAATGAGTCAGTTCTGAATCCCAAATATTGTATACTCAGAAGTAGTCAACAGGTTTTGGTTTCTCTCTTTACACATTAATCCTGTGCCCTTTGAATAAGAAGTCAGATAAAAAGTAGAGTTCCACATTCTTAGAAAATATTTCTCAGCTTGTTGTATATGTTACTTCTACAAGATTCAGGGAACTGAAAATAGCCCTTAACAATCAAGCGTGTAGCATTTACTTATGCTCAGGACAGATACCGAGTGTGTTGAATTAAGATTATATCTGCAGAACCAGAAGGCGGGAAGCTTATTCCTCACCCACAGTATCTCCTGTCAGCCTCCAAATCACACCCTTCCCCACTTGCTTCAAAGTCAGAGAGCTTTCCCAGGCAGGAATGTTATAGGGGCTGGAGAAAGATTGTAGGGAAAAAAGATTTTCCGTGCTTCACCTCCCAACATACATGGGATGCTTAATGGCTGGGTGAGAGAGGAGTTAGTAAGCAAGTCACCCTGTGGAGATAATCTGAATCCAACTAAGTGTGTTTTTAATTTCATTCCCTATTATCACCACCCAATAACCACACTTTCACACAAACAAAATATAAATGTTAACTTACATTACCCCTATTTGTCTTGGCTTTAAAGAGATGAATAACCAAACCAATTGAATATGTAACAACTTTGTTTTCATCCTGATTAAAACCCCATGTACTATCAACTGAACAACCTGCATGCAGCCAACTGAACTACAGTTAAACTAATTTTGAAACTGAAATCCTAATCTAAAGTTCATCATGAGGAAAGCTATTTATGGAAGAACTTCAACATTCTTGTTATGGCAACAGGTGCTGATTAAGGCAAAAAGTCCAAGCATTGTACCAGCAACGTTTTTAAAATGCCATCAACTCTTCTTTGATTTTGCAAAATGTTCAGCCTATGGTGATATGGCAATATAAAACAAGTTTTGAAAGTCTTGTCTGTTTTTAAATATTGGGTCAAATCACAAATCATGACTAGCTTTAATACGTGTATCATTTAATATTCCTAATTTGAATAGAACTGTTTTCCTTCCACATTTCTCTGGGTAATTCTTTAAGTGAGTGCATGTATAGGTCTCTGTGTTTCTAAAAATTAATTAGTTATACCAGAGCCTGCTGTGCTTTTTTCTTGATTGGAGGAAACCTATATACATTTGCATATTCTCATTGTTTGACTGAAACTTCCTTTCAATGTGTTTCCTTTCCAACAAGAGTAGGTAAAAGATGACCTCTTATTCATTTACATGCTTCTTTTGACAGTCATATGATCAGATTTTACGTCAAGCTGCCAGTTATGATAAGGCACACAATATGAGCGGCCTGACAGCCCATTTCCTGAATTTAAGTTTGTTTAAGTTTGTAGGGTCTTTTTAGTCACTGCCTAAAGCAAGAGGGCTTATCATCCTGGCAATTTTAAGACAATAAATGTGCTTGAAACTATCTCTTCTGTTTCATTTATATGCTGTGAACAAATTCAACAAGGGAATTCATTCTTATTTCTAATTAATCCTTTAAAAAAACTGAAAATGTATCTTGAGACACAATCAAGATCTTATGTAATATGAATAAAGATAATTAGTAGTTCTGTATTCTAAAATGCATTTTAAAACCTGAGAAAGGCAAAAAATATGTCTGAAAATAATGCTAGGAATATCTATTTCTATGCAGCAATAAATTACATATAATGTTAGGCAGTGCCAAGATATTAAAGATGTATCAATTTTGGAATGACTATATGAAACTAATACATGGAATACCAATATTTTCAATATAATTTGTAATTACTATTTAATTTTAGCTTATTTGTTTTAAGTATTTCTTTCACATTATTTTTATTTTTATAAATCTTAAAGAGTTTTTTTTTTTTTAAGTTCATTTCCTGAATGAAAAGCGTCTGGGGAAACTTGCTGAGAAGAATAATTAAGGGATTTATCAGTTCCTCCTGAAAACAAAATCCGATCTGGAATCACCTCCATAGCTATCATAACTATATTGACAGCCTTCAGAAAGAAGATACTTTCCTGAAGATGTAAGCATAATCATAGATGGTATGCCTGTGAACCAGACTGAATAAATTACTTAAGTTCAGCAGTCCCATTCTTCATTCTTCCTCTCCTCATTCCCATAAACCTTTCCAAAAATCTACTTCAAAATTTCTATGCTTTGTACAAAATTCTGGAATACTCTATGGAATTTACATTCTAGTAACTTCAGTCAGCAGTATTACCTGTTGAACTTAATCAGTTTCTACCACAAAATATATCTTCAACATTTATTTCAGAGATGAACTAAAGAAAAATTAAGAGATATATCATTGGTGAACTTTTCACTACAGAATTCTGCAGATTCTGTAGAATCACACAGTGCTTAACTGTTAACTGCATGAAAATTTAATAACAAAATTAAGAACCATGAAAATAGCTCTTTACTGTTAAAGAACAATTCATGAATAATTACTTCATTATTATTGATATTAACGAGGAACTCTTTTGTGCAATTATTGAATCAAGGAGGCACTACATTCTACCCACAGAATAATTTCATACTGGGTGGAGAATGAGGATAAAACAGTCAATATCTGAATATCTAGAATGTGCTATTTTGGCGTAGAACTATTTGTTAAATTCAAAGTTAAATTTAGCAATCCTAAATAGCTAGGAACTAACAAGAGTTACAACCATTGAAAAATGAATTTTTAATTTATTATTTTTAATAATATCTTTGACTTTATAACAGTATATTAAGTTACATGCTTTTCATAATAACCTGGTCAGTAAATTAAAATGTATTGCTGTTGGCTCTCAGTATATATAATCTTTCAAAGCTGTATTTATAATGCTTCCATAAATGCAAACATTCCAGCAACTCTCTGTAATAAATTGTTTTACTGGAAACTCTACTAAATTGTTATTTTGTGGAGAGACTATTTATAAGAAAAATCAGCAACAATATAAGCTGCTTAAATTTATAGTCATTATTACAATTTATACAGCCTATATTATGGTTCCTTTTAGCAACAACAACAACAAAAGCACTCAAGATTAAACATCAATACCTCTTATAACTGAAAAGAATAAATCTCTACAAACCTCAATCTTGTGAAGCAAGGTATGTACCTATAAGAATATTTATTCCTAAAGGATCAGTGTATTAAAAGGAATGGTGGATGTTTAAAACACCTCTCTGGAACTAAAACCATTGGCTTTCTAATTTAGAATTTCTCTCAGCTAATATAAAATGATTGATGGCCTTTATTTCATGTAACTCTTGATTTTTCCTTTCATTCATCATAGTCTATTATAACCTAAATGCATTTAGGATCTGCCACAAGAAGAGTGGTCCCTTTTAAATTGTTGTAAAGTAATGAAAAATACATAATAAATCAATCTTATTTGTATCTTACCAAAGCATAACCCTTACTCTACCCAAGTAATTTGGACAATTTCAGCGTGGGTGCTTTTCCAAAAAATAAAATTATATTGCATTGTCATTTCCTAAACGTTTTAAGGAATAAGATGCATGTAAAAAAGGGGAGAACACTGTGGGAATTTTTTTTATAAAATTATTTTACCAGGCCTGCAACTTAATCTTAGTTTTAACTTACACCACAAGCTTATTACTGTATTATACTGCTTCAAGTCTTACTCCCGCATTCTATTTCTAGCAGGGATAAACCTACAGTATAGCAGTGATGTCTTTAGCATGCAGAATGAAATAGCATGCTGACCTGAACATGGAGGCCTTTTAGTGCCAATCTTTGATAAACCTGTAGTTAAAGCCAAGAAACTAGTAAAACAATAAATGGTTTTGTTTTTACTGTTCTGCACTATGGGACTGTTTTAACAACAAATATGTGGATTAGAAACAGCATAAAAATAAATAAATATTGCCATTATCTGGGCCATGAACTGGTATCAGAAAAAATGTAAGATTAAATCCAGAAAAGTTAACTTCAAAATTAGAAAACACTCTTGATGCACATTTTAATACAGTACTGCTTTGTTTCTGCTCCATGCACCAAATATCGCATTTAAATAAAAGAGTTTCAAATCCTTACACAATGAAAAATGGGTTAATACTGTTTAATAGAGCTCCATTTAAATTAATGTTGATATGGATCTTACTATTCTTGCATGAACTTAAAGAATGTGATATAAATAGCTCCATGCTCAAAATTATTGTTTATACAATAATTTTACCTTAAAACTAGATCTAAGATCCTGTTTATATATGGTTCTATGTACTTAAAATTTTGGACTAGAAACCGGGAGACCATGAGTTCTAGTCCTCCCTCAGGCATGGAAGCTGGGTGACTTTGGGCCAGTCACTTTCAGCCCAACACACTTCACAGAGCTCTTGTTTGGGAGGAAAACAAGAGGCAGCAGCAATACTGCCTTAAGTTCTACAAATAAAGGTGGGATATGCATCTGATAAATTAACAAATATATAAATACATACCCACACCACAGATTATTTCAGTTATATGGAAGGCACAGTGCAAAACTCACTGCTTGGCTACAGCGTCAAATAAGAATGTTCAACCAATTTAGATATATTAAAATTAAAAAGAAAAATTTTTCTATGCTGCATTCTTTTATCTCATGAAGCTTTTTAACTCTATCTTTAACTTACAATATTATTTTTACTGTGAAAAGATAGAGACATATTTATATCATCTTCTTAATGTCATAAGACAAAATGCAGCAGGAAATGATTTGAGGAAGCACTGATAATTTCCATATTGCAAATGTGTGACAAGTTCTCTTAGTGATATTTTAAAATTGGCTACTGCTTTCCTTTTGAATTTAAATGGTTTCATTATTTTCTAAACAGAGTATATTGTGTACCTAGAAGGAATATATTCATTATGAATGTAACAATTCCAGAATTGCAAACAGTGGTATTACTACAGCTTGGCTGATGGAAACATGTCCAGGGCACTATAGCTCTTAATTAACACCACCAGCATCTTTACATAAGTCATGTTTCTACTTATGTAATTAGGATCTATTCTTATTTATGTTTAATTTATATATATTTTTTATAAAACACCTTGATATAATGTGATCTTTATCAAATTGTAAGCATCATATAAGAAAATAACTGATTTAAATAACTAATACCTATTTAGTATTTTGGTATCTTTTACTGATGCTTTCACCAATAAAACAAAACAAAACAAAACAAAGAGAACACAAATCCTTACTATATACAAGTGTTTTCAATATATTGTGATTTATTACAGGGGAGGGTGCCATCCAGATGTTTTGGACAACCACTTTCAAAATCCCTTATCGCTGATAGGATTTAAAATCCAAAGCATCTTATCCTAGTCTATTGAGTCTATGGATTTTGTTGAATTTCATTAATTACCACACTTTGGCATGGAGCACACAAAAAGGTTTCCAGATTCAGCGATACAGTATCTAGCTATATCACAACAAAAGTTCACATGAACAAATGCCCACCAAATTGCAATGACAAAGACAGCCATATTCATTATCATGAAGCATATATTAATTCTGGAGAACTAGAATTCCATTTTCTTCTATATAATATGGGGTTCCTGTATGACCCTGTATGTAGTTGGATGACTTTTTAATGCACGTCTACCCTAAACATATATTTTCAAGTTTGGAAGAAAAAAAATTGCATTAAATGCCCAGCATTAATGAGATGTAAAGTATAAAACCCTACTTGAAAAGTAACTTATATTAGAACCTAGGGAAAAAGAAAAAAAATCTTGCATCACAAGACATTAACACAGCACCTTAAACCTAATAATTTAGGAATTAAGACATTCTGCAACAGAATCTCATTATATAATTCTTTTTTTGGAACTACTTGTTGCTAATGCAGTTTTACAACGGTTTAAAACTGAAACACTGAAAAACTAAACAGCTAAAGAATCAAATTTTCCTTAATTCTGATCAGCAATGTTTTCTGCTTTCTATATTCTTTAAAAAGAATGCTTTTGAAAGATTAATCAGGTAAATACAGGAGGTTTCATATATTATAGGCTTCATAGAGATCCTGTTCTACACTAAGATGTCAGTGATATCAAATATGAAGGAACTTACTGCAAATATTTGTATTTTTCATTGTTAATACCTATGTGAAACTTGCCCACCTGTTGCTGGTGTAGGAAGGAAGGGTCTCTTGGACTTAGTCCCACATATCGATTGGCTTGGGATGTGCCTGAAGCTGTATAGGCTGATTAAGGAAGAACAAAACATATTGATAAAGATAGAAACCTATGAATTTCTACCTTGTATTATTCAAATATGAGAGACTCAGAGTTATGAAGTATGAATCTAGTTAAGGGTATGATTCAAGCCCACCTATTGACTTCAATGGAATCTGCATGAACATAGAATTACATTATCAGTAATAAAGTCTCTAAATAGTTTAATGTTTTTCCAGTTTCATTTAAGAGAAGTTAATTCAATCTGATTTTCATCTTCTTTCACCACTTTATATTAAAAATGAAATCACAAGCAAGATAAAACTAATCCTTAAGCCTTTCTGTAAGTATTGGAAAAAGATACATTGTTTCTATTATTATTTAAATTCAAAACATAAATGTTGATTTAAGAGTTGTTTTTATGAAGCACTGAGGGTTTTTTCAGGGAGAGCTAACTATTTGAAATAACTGGTGTAAGCTATAATATTATGAACAGTTTTCAAAATGTAGGTATTTGTGAAGAAAAGACGATGTAAGAACTATTACTCAACCTATGATGTAGAGTGCCCTAACATTTTCATCTGTAGAATCATGTGCATGGGAAAAAGAAGATAAACCCTTTCCTCTACAGGCTACCCTTTGAATCAAGAATAGGTCCAAAGGCACTAACTGCTAGCTGCTCATGGTAGTCTGTCGAATGAAACAGGTGGTTTTGCTCTATCTTCTACCTTTGAGTTATCCATATTAATTTTATAACAACACCATTGTGACCGCCAAACCAAACCATTAAAGAATGAATGGATAAGTAAATAAAAAATGATGGATTAATTTTAGAAATACAGAATCACTTTTTGCAAATTAATACACATATGGCTTCTTAAAGAATTACCATTTAAAAATCCACTGAAGAACCATGATAAATAATACGTCTACAGTTGGGTGTAGAAATGCGGGTGTTTGCTCCTCATTGTAATGGGAAGAATAATTTTATCTTTTTTTCATAAAAAGTTTAAGTGGATCAATGTTGATGTGCAATAATTAGCTAAAAATATATAATTATAGCTAAATAAGTGTTGGTGCCTTTATGTGCCACAGATCTTATCATAAGTATTGATTTATTAGAAATAAATATGAAAGTATCTTCTTCAATAAAATAATCTCTTAGATACACAGCGAAACTCCTTCATAAAAGAAAATGTAAAATATAATAAATTTTAGATATGTCACCTGTGCCATTTTTCATGGTACATTAAAAACATATACGTTAAATATTTAATGTTGAGAAACATGCAATCTTTATGCAGAAGTAGAATTTCTTTAAATATATTTTGCTGTTGTAATAATATGTTTCTTCTCTTGAAGACCTATAATAAGTCCTCATATTATTACAATGTTTAATATTCCCTATGTGTTCTTAACACTATTTAACGTATTATTTGAGTAATGGTTCCTAAGTGCTCATTTGAGATGGAACATTGGTGAGATTTAATGAAAGCTCTAACATCCAACTCAAATCTGAAGCCATATTCCCATTCTGTTCTGATAGATGTGGTACTTTAGATCATTAAAAGCTTCTTTGCTGCTGTTGAAAAATATGAGTTTCCGAAATGAAAAATTAGAAGATAAGTTATTATGAAACTATTAGCTGATTAATTACTTTATACCAATGTTAGCATTCATCATAGCAGAAGCATTCTAACTCTCCCAAACAGCTGTCAATAGTGGTTACTATCAACCAAGGGTGAGCCTCTGCCAGAGACCTAGTTGTACTGTATGTCAAAGTTAAACTTACAGAAAAATCCACAAGCTTAAATCTACTGCTGGCAGAAGAATCTAAGGTTGGGATCTTTGCCTGAAAACAGATTTTCTCCCATGAAACCACAGAGGAATTTTGTTGTTTTAAAAAGCTGGGTAGGGAAAAACTCAATCCCTCCACCAACTTCTTGGTGGGGTGGAAGCTCCTTCACTCTCCCATCCCACACAGGATTGTTAAGATACTTTCTGTTCTTATTATAACTCTACATTTCATTACATACAATGAGTACATTTCAGACTTAGCTCAATTAATATAATTTTCATTACTGTTTTAACCAGTAGGGATGTCAATCTATCGATTTCAATGTGAGTAAACTGCAGGTTCTGCATCTCTTACGACATGCTAGCTGGAGTTGCTGGGAGTTGTTTCAACAGCATCTGGAGGGCCACATGTTTCCCACCCCTCTTTTAAATATTTTTAATTTAAACTCTTATGCAGGCCCTACCAAATCGTCAGGCATTAACACTGATTGCAAGTACTTATTAAATGAATTATAGTCAATAAATTAATGTTTGTTCTATAATTGCAAAAATACATCTCAACTAAGATGCAGGTTAATTCAAGGACTACTTGAACAGTTTTATGAAAACTAGGAAGATGTATTTTCAGGTGGTGGGAAAACCAAGTGGAAGTAATAATGTAAGAAAATAAATGAATGTATATATTTTTCACTATGCAAGTTTCATGCCACTATCCTCACATTACTAGTGGCCACTTGTGTTGAAAACTCTCCACTGAATAGGGTTTGGTAAGCCATTAGAGCAAATGGATGGATAACACAACATGCAAGAGTGTTTTTCAGCAGACTTAATATGACTGCTGTAATGTATGTAATTTGTTTCTAGCAAAGTTAGAGTATTTTTCTAAAACTGCAATTCCATTGAAGACTATAGGATAAAGAACACATTTTTGAACATAGTGAATGAATGAGTGCTACACAGAAGTTTTTAAATCTCTTCAAATATAGATATTCTGAAGGGTTTTCATTATTCTAATGAATTAAAACACTTAAGTTAATTGAGGTCTAATGTTCTGGACTTGCTTTCTGCATGAAAGCTCACTTAGGAGCAATCGGCTGGATCTCTTCCTCTCTCTGGATTTCAGGTGTCAGCAGCTTCGCAGCTATAAATCTTGACTGTGCTTCTCAATATTGTTAGAATGTCCATCTTAAATTTAAAAATTGAATGTGCTTTTATTCTCTGTTGGCAGTTGTTGCTCAAATTAATTTGTTTTCCTCTTTTACAGGGGTTGCCCTGTCACAAAGGTTGCAGAGTAATTTGATTTTTAATAACTGTAGAATAAAAACTACCATGATGTTATATTATTAACTGTAAGTATCTGCCTGGTCAAATAGCAGGAAAAGGCGCCTTTACTGGCCTGAATTTGAAAGTATTTTGATCCTTTGATGGACATTTTTTTTCCCTAGACAAAATACTTACTGGTTGCTGTAGGTGAAGATGCCTCACCTTCAGTGGATGTAGTGATGGGCTTAGTGTCTGTCATGGTCAAGGTCACAGGTCTCACCGCACTGTGATGGGGAGAGGGTGCCAAAACTGGAGTAAAATGGCCAGGCATTTTCCCTACTACTTGACCACTGCTGTTAGGCTACAAAACAAAACCAGAAGAATGCCTTGTGAAATACACACAGTGTCTTACTTATCTTAGGGCTTCCAGAATTCTATAGCTGTAGAGTATCAGCTTGACATACAAATCTTTCTCTCTGCACAGAACTGCAGTCATAATAACCAGGGTTAATGTGGGTGTGCTTAAAGCTTGTGCAACTTTTTCTCATGAAGGTAATTTTCTCAAGCACCTATTTATCGTATAAGAGACTCACTAGTGAATGTCATATGATCTATTGATCCTAAATGTTTAGTAACATCAAAAAATAAATCAGCAAGAAGAACCCAAATGGTATCACTAGATTCTGTTGGTTTTAATTAGATGACTGGAAAATGCTAATACAGTTATATAAAAATGTAAGCACACCCCATGTAAAGTTTTTTTCTCTTTTTTTAACATATGCAGACATATCAATATGTTATCTTGATATAAAGATAAAGGTGATATAATTGAACAAAAAAGCTATGAAAAATTGACTTTGCAATCATTTATTCAACAAAAAATTAACAGATATGCTGTTTCCTTCTGTGGAAAAAATAAGTACACCCTTGACTCTAATATCTGGCATTGCCCCCTTTGGCACAAACAACCTCAAGTAGGTCTTCTAACTATCTACCAGTCTCTGAGATCGACTGGAGTTTTTTCCCAACCCTTCATGCAGAATTTCTTCAGCTGTGTGATGTTTGAGGATTTCTTGAATGCACAGCATTCACTCCACAGCATGTCAATTGGATTTAGATCCGGGCTTTGACTTGGCTATTACAGAAATAGGCTATTACAACCCTCTGTTTCTTTTTCCCCAGTCATTTCTTGGTGGATTTATTGGAATATTTAGGTCATTGTCATGTTACAAGGTCCACTTTTGGTTGAGCTTCAATCTTCTGACTGATGGTCTCACATTATCCTCAAGCACCCACTGGTACAATGAAGAATCCATAGTGGATTCTACGTTGGTGAGCTGCCCAGGCCTTGATGAGCAAAGCAGCCCCAAACCATAACATTTCCAGCACCATGCTCTACCTTTGGTATTAGGTTCTTCTGGTGAAATGCCAACTTTGGCTTTCGCCATTCATATCTTCTGGCACTGTGGCCAAATAAATCTATCTTTGCCTCGTTTGCCCAGAGCACACTGTTCCAGAAGTCCTGGTCTTTGGCTAGATGTTCATGAGTAAACTTTAATCTTGCCCTGATGTTCTTTCTGGACAATAAAGGTTTCCTCCTGGCACACCTCCCATGTAGACAGAATTTGTGCAGCTTTTTTCTAATGATAGACTCATGTACTTTGACATCAATAGTGACAACAACTACCTGTAGGTCATGTGATGAAATTCTAGGGTTCTTAGGGATTTCTTTCAGCTCCTTGCATTCTGCTTTTTGGCTGAACTTGCTGAGATGGGCAAGTTGGCAGTTGTTTGAAATCTTCTCCACTTGTAGATGATCTTCTGGCCAGTTGTAATGTGGGAATGACACTGGGAGATGGGGGGAAGAGATGATGCCTAGGGAATGATCAGATAAGAGGGGGCACAGCCTGCAGCTGCATAATGGGATGAGAAAGAAACTCAGAAAGGAACCTCCCTAACTTATCAGGCTGTAGAAGAGACTGGGAGATTTTGTACTTTTAGACTTGCAAGATTCTGTTAATGTAGCCTTACAATAAGACAGAATTAGCTCATCTGGTTGTGGTTCCTGTCTGGTCTACCTGGGAAGGCTGACACCAGTGGAATGATTGATGTTCAATTGTTTGGTGATCATTTAAAATTCCTGCCTAGACTCATAGGCATCTCTAACCTTCTTTCTGAAGGCCTCAGAGAGCTCTTTCAATCTAGGCATGGTGATATCACACACTTCAACAACAAGGAACAAATCAAACTAAGTATTTTAGGTTTAAGTAAGGCAGGTTTCTCCCAAATCCTCTCTAATAATGTTCTAATCATATGCATCTGATCTGGTGCATCTGATTCTAATTTTAGGTAGATATTAATATATGGGTATGCTTACTTTTTCCACATGTAAAATTTGCTTTTATGTTTATTTAAATTACACAATGGACTACAAATCGTAAATGGTGCATGATATTTGTTATGTCATATCCCCTTTATCTATCAGTATTGTTGAAATGGAGATCAAATATCTGTATGCAGAAATATGTTGAAAAAGTAAAAAAAAATCAATGGGGTATACTTACTTTTTCACATGACCGTTGTTCAATGGGAACAAGGAATTAAAGAGGATTCCTAATAAGTGGTCCAGGATACCTACCAGAAACCCTCTACAACTGTGAATTTGATATTAAAATATACAGTCTGAGAATTTAATTATTGCACAAATACTGCCTATTACAAATGCAGATGTTCCTACGTAAACATTGGAAACTGTCTATTAGTTCAGCAGGAGGAATAACAACACTGTAAGTTAACCATATAATTAAATAATAGTCAAGTGCACTAAATTAATTGTAGTAAAATTAATTTGATTACTAGGGAGCATTGGTGTATGGTAGAATCAACCATTTTATTTTTATTGTTTCAACTATTTACTTTAAAAGGATGCCTAAAAATCTAGATTGTTCATTAATGAATGCCTTGGCAAATCCATTTTTATTCAGGAAACCAAAATACGGATGCAACACTTCTAAAAACATATACCATTGTCTGGACATGACACAGGAAGCAGATATAAGCAACAATATGATCCATGCAATAGAAGGAATTATAAAAAAACTTAAGCACATATGTGCTATCGCCAATTGAGCTTCAGAGAGATTATTTATTAATAAGGGACACAAATTGTACTGCAGATGTATGATTCAGCCATTTTGAAGTACTACATTCTAGCAGTCATATTTGAACAAATGAAAAATTACTTTCCAGTGTTCTGGGAGTTTCAGTATAGATGTTGCTGAGTGCTGAATACAAACATGATATATCATGAAATATATTAGTTAAATGTTTATTTTGGTTAATTCTTGGATTTCAACCATTCCAAAATATCTGCAGCCATAAAATTTACAATAACATTCACTGTACTCTTTCAACATTGTACATATTTACCTATAACCTTACATCATATAGGATCCAGGAAGTAAAACAGAATAATCTAAGTAAATATATAACTAATAAAGCAATAAAATGAAGTGATATTAGTGGTGAATGTTAATAGCAATTAAGTCCCATTTGTTTTTTGGTGTATACTCTTTGTCTGACTATACTTGCTTGCTCTATACATTCTTAGTTTTGTTTTATTCTGTTTTTAATTCCTTTATCTTTCAGCTTAAGTTTTTAGAGATCAGATGCATCCTGTACTTCTGCATGTGCATGCAGATACATATATAAATATCCACCTACTGGATATCATGCTAATGTTGCAAATTAGCTTAAAGTAGTGTTAACTTCTTTTGTTTCAATAATATAGGATTGCAATCTATACTTACTGCAATTCATTAACTAATAAATGTAGTATATTATGTGTAGATATAGAATATATCTATACTACAAAGCACATGTTTCATTTTAAGATAGTTAAAAGTATTTACATCATGAAAAAGGATCAAACACCTAAGATCCTTGGGGCGTAAATTTCTGCCATAGTTGAGAGAACCTAGTGCATTATTTGCTTATTTATTTAGAATCAGCAGCAGAAACAGGCTGATAGAGGGTGGCAGCAGAGACTCTATAAAACATAACAAGTATATCAGATGTCATATTAATGTTCAAAGTTTAAATATATTTGTTTTACTTAGATTGTCTATGGAATACACCAGAAATGTGACATAGCTGCATAATAGCATTGGAAACAATCTACAACAAAAAGTGCTGAAAAGTACTGATAAAAATGAGCAACCTATTTAATAGACTAGTTTAGTTAATGAACAGAGCATCACAGGTAGTCCTCAACTTACGACCATTAATTCAACAACAGTTTGAACTTATGATGGCACTGAAAAAAGTAACTTACGACCGGTCCTCATACTTATGACCATCGCAGCATTTTCTTTGGATTTTCAACAGAAATATACCCATAAAGTTTTAGAAATGTTTTTACTTTATTTTATTGACAGTTAAATAAAACTGGTCATAAATACCAAGACTGTTTAAATGAAGCACCAAGGCTCTCAAAAGGGCTAAACAACTGAGCGTCTAGTAGCAATAGCAACTGAAATAAATTTGGCAACCCTTCTGGAAATATCCAGAGAGACAACTTAGCTAAGAGTAGTGGTAGTGTGAAGGGGCAATGGGGATTAGGAAAGATGTTACTAGATGAGCTTGTCACACTGTGTAAAAGAGCACACAAAAACATGTTAAAGACTGCCGCACCAAGGGTGGAGTCTCTCTCATGCAAGAATGTTGTTAAATCTATTTTCTCACAATGAGGATGGCAAAACATGAAAGTAGGTCACAATAAATGTTCTATGAGATAAGCAAAGAATTTCTGCTAAATACTTAGCATAGGTGAATGGCCTCCCAACAGGTCTGCTGCATTCATTAGCTTTACTCAGATCATTCTAAATATTACTAACAAGAACCTTTTGTTTCAGGTGGGCCAGACTTTCTCAGGGCCAAGCATAGTTGAGTAATGGCCTAATAGCCCATTGCACTGTAAATGTGTGAAGGTGCCACTGTTCCCTGAAGTTCTAATACTGCCTCGTGGTAGGGAGACTAAAGCATTACCCAAAACAATTTGAACCAGTATTTCAGGTGGCAAAGCCCCATCAGGGAAGTGATTATTACCATGGTGATTGGCAGAATGCAAAACTGCATTTGCAAATTTTGGGGCCCTAGTTATGACTTCCCATTATTGATGGGTCCAGGTAGCCATTGCTTGGATACGTATACCCAGGTATCTGAAGACCTTAATTTGGTCCATGCTAGAGCCATTAATTCTCCAGGAATGGTCATGAGAACCAAGCTTTTTAGAAAATATAATACAGGTAGTCCTCGCTTAACAACTACAATTGGGACCAGTGACTCTGTCACTAAGCAAAG